AACTTTGAGTTTCAATTGAAACCTAAAGTCATTTTCTCCATAATCATTAACATATAAGTACCCAATCTTTTCCAAACTTCTTGGTGACCCAGTCCTAACATGATACCTTGCAGAATTAAGTAGCTTAATTTGTAACATGGACTAGAATTTTAATTGAGCTGCATTTGCATCTGTTGAAAACATGGTAATTAGGTGTGTTTTAATTGCAGAATGACTATGCTGCTTTAAAGAGACATAAGCATCTTCACATTATACCTTCTTAAAGGAAAAACCTAACAGTATCTACCTTTATAAATAATCACGTGGCACACTTCAGTGTATGGAGCAGGATAAAATAGACAGAAATGTTAGGCAAAAATAGAAATTTCTATTTGTTTGGAAGAAGATAATCATCTTCCCTTGTGTAGGCTATCTGCAAAATGAAATCAAATAATCTTTAAAGATGAGCACAATTCAAGAGAAAAAAATGTAAAACACAGCATTTAAAATAGATTATCTAAATATAAGTTTATAATTAGTTCTTGCATTGTAATTTAGTGTAGGAACACAATAGATCAAGCCACTTACTCCTAATATATTATCAGTACTTTTCTTACTTAAAAAAATATTTATATGAATTTTTTTGTGGTTTCCTTTAAGTTTAAGGGAATAAAAATATTTTATGTACTTTATTATAAACGTAATATTACTAAATGTACAAACATTGGCTGCAAAAATTTAAAAAATAACCCGATCAGTATATCTGTGACCTTGAATATACATAGTTTAAAAAAGATGCCTAACCAATTTATTTAAGCTTTGGATAATCACCATAATTCTGCATAGGTATAGGGCAAAGTGAGAGATACTTATTTTTTTCTATCAAGTAATTTTAGAGTTCGAAGCATATATACTACAATACTCTAAAAGAACATCTTATGTTTGTACATATGAAGCCACATATTGCTAAATATTTTTAATTAGTTGGCATTCAAAGGGATTAGTTAAATCAGTACACCCCCAGAAGAGTTTCTGTGATAATGTATTATCTAAATTAGAATGTTCAGAATAAGCATAAAGAATTCTCAAATGTGCAAGTATCATTTTAAAACAGTCCACTTGCTTGGGGCAGGAAACTGAATTAGGATTTTTGATTTTATAAAATGAGGTTACAAAACCCGAAGTTAATAAATAATTTAATACTAATTTTCTCTGTTTCACCCAATTTAGAAAATAAGTTGTATTGCATACACCAGAAAATTATTGTGCCTATGAAAAGAATTGGCAACCAATATGACTTCAGCATATAGTCAGTTGTGAAGGCACTGCCTTTATTCTATTACCGAGCCAAGAGCCGACATATGCCCTTGTACTTCTGCCAAAACTATTAGGCAGAAAACTAGCAGAACCACTACTGATACTTCCATTCATGATTTATGATAATGGTTGCTGTGGAAGACTAAGTCATTTACATTTATTGAGCTCATTTTTTGTTTATAGTTTCAGATATTGTAGAGGGTTATAAAATCCATTAGACAATCCGTATAGCACTAACAGTAATCACATGAAAAATAGTACAAACTGATTAGAGCAAAACCAAGTCTAGTGGGCCTTCCCGACATTGCCGTAGTTGGGGTGTGGCTAGTTTTGTCAGGCTTGATCAGAGGAAAATAGGTATTGTTCTGCAACTCGAAGAACAGTGATACCCAGAGACTGGAGAAAACTTCAGTTGGGATAAAGTCATGAGTCAGGTTTACTGGTAGTCTTTCATCTGAACCACCTCTTATGAGCAGCTGCTCTCTGCCAGGCAGTCCTCATTTTAGAAGAAGTTAGAGAATGAGAGGCAGACTTGTAATCATGTCAGATGGGAAGTACAATAATAAAAGTTTGTACAAAGAGTTATGCAAGTATGCATAAAAGGAGTTTTGGATGTTAGGAATTTTAGAAAATTCACTAGCACCCATTTATCTTTGTTGAGTATACCAATAAACTTGGGTTTTATAGTTCCTGAGAACTTCTGAGAATTGTTTTATAATGGTTTGGATGATTATCTCAAAGTTAAGGCCACACCTGTTTCCCAAAGGGTTGAAACAGCAGTTGGCAATCAGGTACAACAGAGCCAAGTGTAAGGGTGTGTGACAAGATGCTTTAAGCCTGCTAAAGTTATATTTATATTCTCTTGGGAGAGTCACATTTGGAAAGGCTGCATATAATCAGCAAGTCATTGGGCTAATTGACCAGGATATTCTTTCCCTGCTCTGTGTAGACCAAAACAATTACAGCCGTAACTCAGCATTTATTTGTAAGGCTACTGAAAGCATACTGTAAATAGAGCATACTGAAATACTGTAAAGCATTAACTAGCAATGCCCATCTGAAAGTTGTAATTGGCATCCTTTATCAAATCTGTACCATTCCCATTTATATATTAATTAACCAACAGGAAGAAAAGCAAATAAAAAAAAATTACCAATGTCCTTTGGAGCAGGAGAATGGTTCACAATTCAGATAACCCAGTGCAGAAGGAGGCAGACCTTTCTAAAATCAGTTTCATGGTTGCTAATCAGTCCTAGAGTTTGTGTACGTTTTATCTAGGTTCTTGATTGATTTCATCAACATGAGCCACAAGTCACAGCATTAAATGAATACACAGGATTGACAATAGGTTTCTGAAATACAATGCTGACTGCTGGAATTATCTTCTGGACAGACTGTGTAGTGAGTGGGTGATAGATGACCTCGACATGTGGTGTATGAAGCATGGAATTGAGCAATCACAAACAGAGCTGATGAAAGAAATGCATGAAAGTCTTGCTGAAGTACAACCGTATAGGACATGAGACTAGGAAGAGCCCCAGAGTGGGACTGTGCTGGTCCCAAACCTTTCTGTTTCCTCAGCAAGAAATGGAAGATGTTGGTCTAAATGACCTCCAAAGTACCTTCCAGATTTAGACATGGTGATGCTTTCATTCTTTAGCTGTACTAAGGCATGACCTGCTGGGATGAGAAATATGTTGGCTTATGTTTTTTTTGTTTTTTTTTTTTTTAATTTTTTTATGTTTATGTTTATTTTTGAGAGAGAGACAGAACACGAGCAGGGGAGGGGCAGGGAGAGAGAGGAGACACAGAATCTGAAGCAGGCTCCAGGTTCTGAGCTGTCAGCACAGAGCCTGACACAGAGCTTGAACTCACCAACTACGAGATCATGACCTGAGCCAAAGTCAGCGTTTAACCCACTGCACCACCCATGTGCCCCTGTTGGCTCATGGCTAACTAACTGTGTTAACAAAAGGAATTGGACACCTTTTTTTTTTTTTTTTTTTTTTTTTTTTTTTTTTTTTTTTTTTTTTTTTTTTTTTTTTTTTTGGTATTATCCTAAGTAGCTCTGGCATTTAAAAAAAAAAAAAACAAAAACTTTATTACTTTGCAGTGGTCATGCCATTATTGATAGTCACTTCTCAGATTTGTGATGGTTTAATAGCAGAATACTGAGTTTGTTTTAACTGGTCTTATTATACTTTCATATTGTCTATTACTAACTGAATTGTCCCTTTGTGGTGGAGAAGCTAGACTTCATGAATTTCACTTGAAGATACATTTACTTGTCTTAGAGGTCAGTTCTTTGTGAAATATTGAGAAGAGGCTTAACTGTTCTATTTGGTTCTGTGTTAGAAGAAGCTCAAAAACGTTGATTCACGTTTTATTTGTTGATATACAAGAATAAAATGACCTAAGAAGTCAAGGGGCAATCTGAATCCCCAATCATTGTTATGATATTTGGAAGAAAATCTTAGGCAACCAATCTCAGAAAAGATTTATGATAGTGGCTGTTAGTATATACATTTGTTTTTTAATAGAGAAATTCTCAAAATTCTTTTGCTAGGTGGAAACCTCTTGTTTTCTTGTCATTCTTTCAAATTAAAAGGTTCAGGGTAGCAGGATGCCTGGCTGGCTCAGTCAGTACAGGATGTGACTCTCAATATCAGGGTCATGAGTTCAAGCCCCATGTTGGGCATGGAGCCTTCCTAAAATAAATTAAAAAAAAAAAAAAGTTTGGGGTATTGAAGTTCCCTTGGACCATACGCTTATTAAGTGCTGGTTCAAAGAATGGAATATTATTATCACTAAGTAAATTTTGTATCTGCAAACTTCAGGGGAGTGTGAGGTTATTGATTTTCACATTTTCCTGACTTTACCCACCTTTGTAGATGGACATGAAGAGTTATTTAGGATTAGAAGATATAATTGCATTTGCTTATGATGTTGACCTTATTTGATGACAATATAAGGAGAAGCTCCAGAAACTGTAAAGATCAGTCTTCTCTGTTCAGAAATCACAAACGGACATATTTGGGAGCCTGAAGAAAGAAGTCTTTGTGCTGAAATTGGTGTGCTTACTAGTGAATGGCACAGTTTCACAAATTAATGAGGGGCCAGATTAGATCTACCTTATCTGTCCCCATGAGGAAAGGAAGCACTTGAGGAACTGCTTGTTTTCTTTGCATTTTGCAAATCCAGCCCACAGGACCCAGAGGGGTCTATGCTGTGTGCCAAGGGCCTACTAATCCCTCCAGTTTGCATGCTGCATATCAAGGAGGAGGTTACCCCAAGTGAATCAGCATCTGGCCAGAAGCGGCTTCTCTCTTTCTGTTGGCACATGATCTTCACATAGGAATACCCTGTGCATGGTAATCATCCACATCACATGTTCTGTTCTCATTCTCCTCACAAGCCAATAGCATAAGGGCGCCTGGCTGGCTCAGCTGGAAGAGCATGTGACACTTGATCTTGGGGGTAGTGAGTTCGAGCCTGTGAGTTGGGTGTAGAGATTATTTCAATAAATAAAAAGTGAAAAAAAAAAAAGTAAATAGCATTACAGTCCAGGTTGATAGCAGGCTGTACAGCAGTAGAAAATGTGGGAAAGCAATATCTTCCCATGTATTTTAGCTTCCTTCTCTTTGTTCTTTTGGTTCACTGTATTCCTTATCCTTGTTTGTGTGTTTGTTTGTTTCTCTTCCAAGTGGAAGAAGACACCGAAGAAAGTTCAAGATCAGGGAGAGAGTCTGTATCCACTGCCAGTGATCAGCCTTCGCATTCTTTGGAGAGACACATGAATGGAAACCAAGAGAAAGGCGATAAGATGGATAGGAGAAAAGATAAAGCTGGAAAAGAGAAGAAGAAAGATAGAGACAAGGATAAAGACAAAATGAAAGCCAAGAAGGGCATGCTGAAGGGCTTGGGAGACATGTTCAGGTAAGTCTTCAACAACCCAAAACAGATGGTCGCTAAACATACGTGAGTGTGAGGTTAATACTAAATTTGAGAAGCACAGACTTGCAAACATTATCTCTGAGGTCCACCACAAATCTTTTCTCATTTTCAGTCTTCGCTATTATACTTGTAATTTGTACAGAATTTTGCTTTAGTTATTTCAGACCGTTTTAGCAGCCTTAAAGATGAGATCTTGCCAACCATGTAAATAACTGTTGAAAGGAAGAAAGGACAAGTCTTCATTTTAGCTATGCAGAAGAGTAAAAGCCCCATGGAGACAAAGGGCTATTAAAGCAGTGTTTGTTCTTTTGTGTGTGTGAACAATGGTTCATTATTTAAATTTAACATAGAACTCAAGTTAGTGGTAGCATTTAAAGGTTCATTAATAAGTCTAATAAAAAAAATGTTGCAAATAGAGCTTCAATTAAGCTGTGTTGATTAATTTAATACTTATTACTTCAGTCTGTAAAGATTTCATTAAATGTAGTCTCTGGCTGTTTCCTGACAGTTGTTTTTGTGTCCCTAAATTATACTCTGGGATTACTTAGCATATCGTTTTTTTACAAATCATTGTTACACAGTAAAAGTGACAAGTTGTTCAGAAGTTGTACTGAAACTCTCCCATAAATGTTCATCTAAGGTGATTTATAATACTCAGGCATTTAATGTTAAATATAAAGATTGCTTGATTGTTCCATAAATTAAGCCCCTAAACATATCAAGATGATGGTTTGAAATTGAAAACATGCAGCAGAGCCACTTGACTCTTCAAAAAGCAGTTACCCTGTATTAGGAATCCCTTCCTTTTAACTTTTTTTAATTGCAAAAAGGGGACAAGAATTTTTATTTTCATGGAATTTCTTGATTTATGATCCTGAGGTTGACCTCAATAACTCAAGGAGTTAAAGATATGTCAAGCCTGCAAAGTTGAGGACTCAGGGCACAGCCTGCAGGCCACACCACACAACAGATGTGCTCTGTACACGTCTGATTAAATCGAGTGCCTGAAAGAAGTAACTATAGAGGTAGGTAACACAAAGCCTGGGCTGTTAGCCACATTAGCTTTAATCTAAATACAATGAGACTTCCATCTCCGATGCTTCAGGACACTGGGGTTCTCATAGTTTTACATTAGAGTTTTTCTTGTTTATATACTACTCCTGAATGTGTTTTCAGTCAGATCATCTTTCTTCATTATATTCCATGTCCAAGAATACTTACAGAATGAAATTGCTCTAACTACCACTTTATTTCAGTTTCTATGTTAGCCAGGGAGTGTTTCCTTTTGTATATGCAAACTGACGGCTCCGAGGCTGGCCCCTACCTAATGCACAGACAGAAGACCATTGCCCATCCTTTAAAATTTAAGGAATATATGTTACTGTCTTCTTTAAATGAGAGAATACGAAAGGGGAGGGTATCTCCCGGAGACTTACACATTCAACAAGAAGTGCAGTCTCATCCAAGTGCCCTCCTGAAGTCTCACTGAAAGCCAATGGCTTGTTAGTTTTCCTTCATCAGCCAACAGTTCTTAGGTAGACCTAGTGATCTGTTCTTCTTGTGGAATAAAAAATAAGAAAATTTCTGGTTTGTTTTTATAAAATATGTTATAAATTATTTCATTACAAATTATTTTTTTCCGTAACTTACAACTCCAGAATAAGAGAGGCCATTTGGTAGATGTTTTCCTTTTGCGGCCAGAGGAGTGGAGAGTGTGAGGGCCTGGGGACATGTATGTTTCAAAGAGATCTTGACTAGTAACCCAACAACCACCTTTTTGCTAAAAGTTCTGTAAAATACTATATGATGTTTTCTCTAGATCAAATTCTGTACATTATACCTGCAACCTGTAGTGAGAGCCAGCTTTGTGATTAAGAAGTTGACCCATTTGTAATTTCAAAGGCCTGCATATTTTCAAAAACCAACTTCTCTGGTTAGGTACAGGAGCTAAAGGTTTTTTTTGTTTGTTTAATTTGTTTTTTGTTTTACTAAAAAATAAGCTTGTATTCTCCCAGTGTTTAAGAGCAGCTATTAAAGAAAATCACTATATTAATACCTTTCTGGGAACATAGAATCAATGGTTTGCTAGAATCCACCCATGTTGGCTTGTGAGAACCAGTGGCTCAATGTTTAGAAATTTTGCCAAACACAGCCATTATAAAAATTAAATAAGTTTCATAAAAATCAAAAGCAATACTCAGAATTCACCGCTTCCTAATTATGTTATCACATTTTATCATGATCTCTGCTTTCAAGGTTATCTACCCCTTTTGCACTGTCATGGTGCTAACACTTTATGCTGGTGCATAAACAGCTTTCCCCAGCTCCACCTTTACGACATTGTGTTGCCAGTTTAAAATCAGCCATACCATGGAAATGTACAAGTTCCACAAAACAGAGTTACTTCTCCTAGGAGATCAACACACCACCAAGTGAAGAATGGAATATATCTCAAGCAGAGTCTCAGTATCATGTCTGGTTTCCTCGAACATGGCTGTCTTCCATTTGGTTGCAAACCATTGCTTCCATCCTTGGGGAAGTGGCTGAAGCTTGCCAAACACTTCTTCAAAATGCTCTGAGAACAATTTATTAAACATAAAATAAACTTTTTGTCTGATTGACAATTGGCTCTTAATCCTTCCTTCATACCATTATTTTATGTTTTAATAATTAGAGAAGACTCGTAAAGGATTGTTAGATTTTTCAAAATATTTTGTAACTACCTTCAATACTTATTGAATCCTTTTGAGACTAATACATTCTCAGGTTGATTCTTACATAGAATTTTCTTTTTTAAAATAACATAGGGGAATATAGTCCGGATTTAAAATTAGTCTCTTCCTTTCTTTTTGTTCTCTTAAGGAAATAGCGTGTGATTTCCTTTGCAGTATTGCTTTTAAATAGCTTAAGCAAAATGTGTATGTGCATATACATTTCTTAGAAGAGTTTGTAAGGACTTTCAAGTGCGGCTGCCCACTGTAGGCCTGAAGTACAAAGCAGAGATGTGCGTGTGCATTTGTGTGTTTATTGTTATGATTTTGTTTCTGTTTTTTTGGTTCAGATAACAAAGAAAGAGCTAAGGGGCAGGGACATTAGATACTGGGAGTCTAGCTTTCTAGGCATATAAACTTTTTCTCTTTAGTTGCTTGAAAAAGTAATAATATGTTTTCCTTCAAAAACAGGCTCATGGGCTCTTCTCCCAACCATCTCCCTCCATGGTCCCTGCAAACACACATACTCTATGCCTATCCCTATAAATTGTCTGTGATTTGAGGTCAAATTTGATGAGGGCCAAAAATATGGACCCTATTTTTAAAACGGCACCAGAGGAAACCATGCACATTGAATAAGTACTTTTATCGGGATAAACAGATGTCATGGTTTTCACACACGGAATGGTGGTCCCAAAGATGGTTTAATTATTGATAAACCGCTCTAGTAAAGAACATTATGAATCATATAAATCAATCTTCTGTTTCTAAATTATGGACTATATGGAGTGCAAAAGCTGTCTTAATGTAAGTTTTAAATCGCAAATTCAAATCTATGTGAATTTGCATAACAAATGTAAAGTGTTTTATGTTTGTATGATTCTCTTTATATATGCTACATCTTCTTTTGCACATAAGGACCTCCTGTTGCCTTAATTAAAATGGCTTTGTATCTAAGAAACCTGAGTGTGCTTACTAAAATAGGTAAACATGACTTGTCAATGTAATCATTGTGCAAAGTACAGAGCAGAGGGAGGGTCCAGCATTTTGACTCTTTGTTTATGTTTGATTCTCAGATACTTGGCTATTCAAAGTGAATATTTATTCCAAGATATTTTTGAGAATTCTGCAATTCTATGAAATAGTCACTAAAGAGGGAAGGAACCAACTCTGTCCTTTAGAAGGGGAGAGATCTATTATGTAATATTTTAAATGTGTTCATTTTTTTTTTTTTTTAATTTTTTTTTTCAACGTTTATTTATTTTTGGGACAGAGAGAGACAGAGCATGAACGGGGGAGGGGCAGAGAGAGAGGGAGACACAGAATCGGAAACAGGCTCCAGGCTCTGAGCCATCAGCCCAGAGCCCGACGCGGGGCTCGAACTCACGGACCGCGAGATCATGACCTGGCTAAAGTCGGACGCTTAACCGACTGCGCCACCCAGGCACCCCGAAATGTGTTCATTTTTAAAGGAAAGCCACAGCATTGTTCAGCAACATGCTTTTGCCTTAGTTTCCATCTTTAAATGGAAATAATCCACAAGATAATAAAACCCCATATTAGGACAATATTCTCAGATAGTAAGTATGAAAAACTATGTGTTGCCCTTTTTTCCAGCCCTCAAGTACGATTTGATATTGCTTTGCCTGAAAGATTAGACTTGTTTTCTTTTGAGTGTCGTGGAATTGTGTGTACGCTAAAACTAAAGGTTCTTAGACTTGACCTTACTCTGTACCGCTTAGATTTATTTTGTGCTTTTGTCCCTATGTGAGAGCTGAGAACCTATCACTATGGAAGGCTAAAGCCAAAGTAATGTTGCAATATTACCATTAAAATTGAATCCTCCAATTACGTTTAAAATGATTACCTGTGTCCCTGCAGCATTGTTTTATTCAGTTCTGTTAGAGGAAATCGGTAATTTAGTTTGAAACCTTGTTTGGTTGAAATCAGATACACTGCTCTCTTTCCCCTTTTAGAATATGGTAGTTTTCCGAACACAAAGAACATGATCAGATTTTAAAACTTAATGTTGTAGTTTGGATTACACTCTTTAGGCTTTGGGAGAATAACAAACAGGAATTGTTGTTGCTTCCCTTACCTGTACTTACTAACTGTGTTGTCTATACCGTGTTTCTCATTTAGCCTTGCCAAACTGAAGCCTGAGAAGAGATGAACAACAAACCAGATTCAAAAAGGTCTTTGAGAAGCACATATTGCACAGTCGATTTTTAAAGCAAACAATAAATTCACTTTTAATGAATTCTTAGTGGC